CAAATCCATTTGTTCTTCCCCCCAATAAACAATTCCCAAACTAGAATTTTTGCATGAATTTCACAATTCTTTTTTTAAATGATTTGTTACTGCATATATAATGTCAGTCTCCCTTATGCACGGTAGAAAAATAATTAATTAACTTTTTGTCAGGCTCTTTTCTAGCAGATAATCTGAAATGTGGGCGTGGTAGTTACTGTCCAGCATCAAATATTGTTCCATAACTTGATAAAAAATGCAGGTAAAGCTTTGAAATTTTGGAGGCATGTTTATAAAGATTTGTGGTATCAAATAAGCCAATAAAAAGTTTTCGACAGTTAAATAATTTTTAGAGTACCATATATCCTTAAGCGGGAAATCAACGGTCATTTTATTGTATTTCGACTAAAACATGGGAAGTTGCAATGTGATGGAAGTTGCGTTTTTCTGAAAAATGAAATTCTACCTTATTTTGTATTGTAAATATTAATTTTCTTAGGATGTTTATTATAATCGTTCTGTTTCATTGAATATTGATGTTATTAAAGATCCTCCATATAGAGGGGCCGTAGCACGCTCGATCTGTCTCGGCTCAAAGTCCTGAAGTTGTCGTGGGAAGCTTGCTGAGTGAGGTATCAGCTTAGTTGTCCTCCTCTTCACTTTATCATGTTTCAGAATTTTGAGGCCCATCACTAACAACCCTCATATAACTTTAAAGGAAAGCGCTTGTAAGCAATCACTCTGTCTTATTAAAAAAATTTATTTACTAACTCTTAGTTTTGTTTACATTGAAGATATCCAGTATTTTTTGCTGTGGAGGATCATGTAACTTTTTTAACCTTACGACCCGATATTTTTCACGCATGGAAATTTTATTCATATACAATGAAAACAAAATATTTCTTAATATTTGCCTTCTTGTTCAAACATTCATCATCAAACTCTTCTTTACTTAGTACACTTTGTCAATTAATGATAAAATAAAGTCTAGCTTTTATATTACTCTGTCTTTCATAGGACTGATAAAAAGAACATTTCACGATACGTTCAGATTTAATTTAATTCCTTAATTTGTTTTTCAGTTTGGGAAATTTTTTTAACCAGCGAACTGTGAGACCATGGTTATGGTTAGATTGTCTCTTCAGTCTTTCCAGTACTGGAAGAGGTTACGATAAAGATCTTCACATTTTGCACAGCTTTACTGAAAAGGTAATGATCAATTCTAAAAACTGAAATACAATCGTTGTGATTGTAATATACATATATTTTAATGAAAATCAGAATTATAAAACAACATAAACTTTTTAAAATAACTCTGACATGCTCCTTCTCACCATTAGACTTTGTAAATTTTTTAAAACAATAAGATTTATACACTCCTATAGAAATATAATCAAATGTTTAGCACTTTCATAGAGAGGGCAAAATAACTTGTCTTCCAGGAACCACACATAAATCATTTTAGTGAGAATTGTTATTGTTTGCAATTAAATAACATTTTTTCACAGTAAAATAAACAAGCTTTAAAGGAATTTGCGTTTTGTTTCAATTTTAGCTCTGAGGAAAGCGGCGCAGACTCTTAGCGCAGAGGGTGGGACAATGCCACGCCATTGGCGCGATGAAAGTGTTAATGTACCCGACTACATTAAAATTGTAAATTTGCGAAACATTGACAATTTTTTATGATTTTATTTTATAGGCCATCTTATTAGATTTATAAAAATACTAAGTTTATTATTTTCCGTTTTCTGCAACAAAAACTACAAGTGTTTTAGTAAAAGCAGATGCCACTACTTTAAGCAAGATGTCGTACTTTAAAAGGCGTTTTACTCGAAATGTTTTTTTAAAGGTTCAAACGGGGCCAGCGATTGCTCAAAAAGTTTTGAAAATAATGAACTAACATTTTTTGTGTATGTTATGCATAATAGTAGAAGTGTTTTAACTTTTATATTTATCAATCCCTTTTTTATTACAAAATTTACAGTCCCTTATGTCAATATAATCACTGTTTTTTTTAAGCAGTTTCATATAATAACTAAGATAAAATGCTCTAGTTTTTGCAAAAATTTAAATATTTCTGATCCTGAAGGTCATTTCAAAAATGAATAACAAAGCAACACCTCAGAATTGAAAAGTTGAAAATTTGTTTATAAACTTTTGGTACAGAATGGGCCCCGTTTATGTTAATTTTTGTAAATATTTACCAACTCCCCCCCCCTTTTAGAAATAATAATAATTTATTTTTATCTTCTTAATTTTAGTATATTTTTCTTAAAATGTACTAAGCAATTCTAAAAAAACACAAAAAATCCCCATATCTCCCTTTTTTTAAAAAAAAGTTGTCGCAAGTTGTCAGATACCTTACATGCTCAGTGAAAGATGTTCGCGATAGCTTATGGGTCATGGTCAGGAACAATGGCCGAAGCGTAACGAGTTCGAGAAGTAGTATCACCGAAAACCCGCAGTGCAGAAGGGCTGGTCGGGGTTAAAAGACCTTACGTTAGAGTGGTGTTGCGAGAATAAGGTGCAAGCTGAGGTGTCATCCTCGACACTAGACCGTGTTTAAAATTACGAGGCTCGTTGTCAATAGCCCTCGTGCTGCTTTATAGAGCAACGTTAATAAACATTCCTTCTCTCCAAGAAGGAAATAACTTTTATAAAAACTAATTATTAAATAATTTTGGATAATTAGAGAGAAGTGTAAAAACCATATTCAAATAATATATTTCTTTCTATGTGGAAAAAGATTCACTTCATGTTTGTGGACATCGACACCTTTAAGCAGTTCATTGTGGAGGTTTTATTGCACCTTATTATTAACACCCTTTTATAAGCTCCACTTGTATGTAACGGAATCTTTGAACTTTGTTTTTATCTACTTTAAAAGGTCAAATTAATTCGAAATTTTTGTCACTCTTCCAGGACCAATGACAATACAATAATTTAATAACTTTATTCCACTATCCTGATCAGGATTATCAGGATTAACGATTTCTCGTTTTCAGATCCCATCCCGCCTCTGGCGACTCATTTCAGATCCCATTTCCAGATTTGGCGACCAAAAGATTAAGCTACAACTTTGTTCGATTAACAAGAAAAAGGGTGTTTTTTAGTTTTTTAAACTATAATTTTTTATTTTAGCATTATTACAGTTTTAAAGACTGTATTGTGGCGTTCATTAGCAATACTTTTAAGCATGTTACGAACATTTCTGATAGCAGTTGATAATATAGCCATCACACATTGAATTGACTCGATGAGAATTTTGTAGACTATGCTCTCTTAATGTGAACCCTGAAGAAAAAAAAAACAAGCATGTCATATTTTGAGAGGGTGCTGGGCAAAGAACAGATTTATTCACGCTTCCTAATATTTTAAGCTGTCGGTCCAGCTGTAATTGCAACCTTATACATGAAATGAATGTCGGCGAGCTCCGTTTTGGGGTAACAATGCATTATGCTTGAAATCTGTACGGGGAATGATGATTAAAGTCAGCCAAGCGTCTTCCCCTATCCATCTCAAAAGTGCCTTCTACAGCCGCAACGCCGAATTTCCGCATCTACTTTCTATACTAAATCTGCTTATTTCAGTTCTTTGTACCTGTCTTCTCATTTTTAGCAGATATTTGAAACAATATATATATATATATATATATAATTTTATTATATATATATATTATTATTATTATTATTTAAATTATTTTATATTTTATATTTAAGCTGTCCTAAGACAGCAATGTTTATAATACTGTAGCATCTATGCTTTTATATTTTTATATTAAACTCTCTATTATTTTAATTTTTCTTATTTCCATTTAAAATCTATTGTCTGGTTATCTTACATTTTCAATTCTTTTCAGTTTGATCATGTTTATTCATCTCTCTCTAGTAGAAATTTTTTGAATATATATATATATATATATATATGTATACTCAAGTTAGTTAATTTGCAAACGAGTGCTCAAACTTTATGTTAATAAATAAAACTCACGAAGAAAAAGAAAAATGAAAGAGCGTAGTCATTTTTACGTTTCATTTCGTAATTCCGAAAAGGCTATTTTTAAACAGGATTTGCTATCAACTCTTGTAGATGTGAAATGGCTAAATTTAAATAGAAATTTGCATGCGTTTGCCAATGAATCCTATTTTTCTGTTCCAACAGGTGATTCGTGAAAAGAAAGAAGAGAGAAAGAACAAGCCTCTTCGTAAGGAAGAAGCGGCGGAGGACGATTTCAAAAGCAAGAAGAGGCTGGCGCTCATGGATTTGCTGCTGGATTTGCATTTGAATGAGCAGCAGCTGACAGAGAACGACATCAGAGAGGAAGTGGATACGTTCATGTTTGAGGTAAATATTTATAACTTGAGGTATTTACTCCAGCTTCTTTTAAATGCTTCATGGTACTGGATTTAAATTGTGAAATTCGTGACAGAATCTGTATTGATTCTTTTTCATTAAATGTGTGAACTCTGTAACATTTAAATTCGATTGTAAGTTATCTTATATTCCGTTAAAAGAAAAGCTAATTGAAACATAAATAATATGCTTAATGTTTAAATGCTGTAGCGAATTCAGTTGTGTTTGCTAGTTTTTAAATTGTCTTAAGTAGGGACTATGCTTTTTTTCAATAAGCAAGACTTAAGAATTTAGTCCTATTCGTGATTATATGTTACAGTATCGTCATCAATTCAGCTAGAATAGAGTTTTCTTAATTTTAACTCAAAACAAATAATATAAAATATTTTTTTAAGTTATTTCCTACTTACATCAACAAAGAAAGTTTTTATTTTTTTACTTTTTATTAAATAGTTACAATCAATATGTATATATGTATATACATATGGCAGAATCACAATATGAAGTTACAAAATAGAAAACGATTTTCCTTGTAATTTTTCATTTTCCTTTCTATATACGGTGTTGGACTATTTTTTGTTGTTTTTTACTATTTATTCATTCATTAAATTTAATTGTAGTAATAAAATAGTATATTAAAAAGGAAATCACATTCTCAGAAATTAGGTCATCCCAGGTGGAATTCAAACCCACTCCCTTTGGATTAGAAGTCCAACGCCCTATTCATTGTGCTACAGGAATACAACGAACGATTTTCATTTCTGTATATGCTTTTGAACTATTATTTTTGTTGTCAATATTTATTCCTTTTAAGATTTTTGGAGTGAAACTTCTTTGGGCGTGGGAGTGAATGGAAAATTTGCTCAGTTTTGCTTAACAGTGAAAAAGCGAACGGAAGTAGTGATCCCCCATCCCCCTGAAACGTCGCCATAGTGAGGAGATAAGGAGCGAGAGAAAAGAGAGCGGGGAGGGGGTACACCACGGGACTTGCATCATATTCGTGAAAAAAATGGACGATTGCTAAGGGGGAATAGTGCATTAGAAGTATATCTTGCTGCTATGGAGGAAAGGCGCTTAGGTATTGGTGGCATTAGGTGGGTAGGTACCCTTGCTACTCTCGTAACGAACTCGCGCGGAGTATTTTCGTAGTTTTTATGTAATGAGAGAACATGCCGTTTTCAACAAAAAAAGTACCCAAAATATTACCATTATATGGCTCTTGCCGTTACGGAAGTGTCTGGGGCATTGTGTATATGTCACTAACGTTCGCGCCAGAATCGCTACGAATAGTTTCTTGTAAATCAAAACAGTGACTTCTGTGAGTAATGTATTAAGTTTATATTATTAAATTTAATTTCCGTTGAATTAAATTAATTCTGGTCAGAAGGCCTAGAACAAATGCAAAAAGAGGAAAAGAGTTTCGTGAAAGGAAACAAAAAAGGAAAATTAGCAGCAAGTCCATGCGAAAGTCTCTATATTACCAGGTAGTTCCATCGCAGCTTTTATCATCTTTATCCATAAAGTTTTAATGCTGTACACAATGCTGAGACTGCTGGAATCATTGGATCCGATGATGATTAAAAGCTGATGATCTTAACTGGAGACTTAAATGTTAATTTTGCTTCAGAAGAAGCAAAGACACTCATTGAATTCTTGAAACGGACACTAAATTTGACTATGAATATTGATTGTAGAGAAGGAAAAACAATATACGGAACCACGATCGATGCAGTTTTCTCACATTTTCTTGATTGACTACAATCGAGGATTTTTATATCTTGTTTCAGTTACTACACACCTATTGTGTCTTTCTTGGAAAATATTGATGCAGAAAATTGAATAAAAATATTTTCATACAATAAATGAAGTTCGAATTTTGTTTGATTAAAGTAAGTTATCTCAGCAGTTTAATATAATTAGATCTATTCCTGCATTTACGGCCAACGTCGCCAAAGAAGTTTCACTTCTGCGTGTGGTTTTCCACGTTCTTTTTTAATTTACTTAATGAATTAATATTTTAAAAAACTGTAGTAACATCGAATGCCATCCACTACAAGTTTTATAAGATGTATTTGAACTTGAATGGATGAATAAAAAGTATTTTATTAACGACTGAAAACTTGAACAATATATATAAATATGGAGAGCGTGAACTAACGGTAGGAACTGAATAATCGACATCGAATCCCGGAGAAGGCATGGATGTTTGTAAATGAACAGTGCCCCTCCTGCGCTGCATGAAGGTATTCTACACATTCACGAGTTGAAAGTCCTCTCGAGAAGGTGGTGGTAAGGGAAGAGTGGTGGGAGACTCTCGAACCAGCCTTCTTAGAGTTCTTTCAAGGAATTGGGGTGGAACGGAGTTAAAACATTTTATCACCTGCATGGTATTCAAAACTGTGGTCAAAACGAAAGAGATAGTCCCTTATCCCCTTTGCGAAAATGAATTTCGTGGGCCTTGATTTGACACCATTGATCGAGTAGCATTAATAACAACAGAAAAACAGGTTCCTATAAGTTGCAATTACAGTTTTATCTCTCTCTTACGTTTTATATTTATTTTATATTTTTATATATATTATTTTATATTGTAATGAAAAACCAAGGCTCTTATATGAAAATTTATATGACAATATAAAAAAAACTAGAATGCTCCCCCCTTAACTTGAGATTTATTGATTATTATTAAACTTTTTTTTTCTTCTTTATTTATGTACATTGTACAGTTTGTTTCGTAGATTCTTAACAAAGTCTGTGCAATATCAGAAAACAAAGTTTTATAATAACAAGATCCTAAATGAATTATTTATATTTTTATCCATTAAAATCTATTATTTTCTAGAAAAATTATTCTATTTTCCTATCTTTTTTTCTTTAAGGGTCACGACACCACTGCCATGGGAATCGCCTTTGCTCTCTACTGCATCGGTCTCTATCCAGAAGTACAAGAAAAGATTCACGAGGAGCTGGACACCATTTTTGGTGAAGATTGTGAACGACACGTGACCATGGATGATGCTCGTAACATGAAGTACCTCGAATGTACACTCAAGGTCCTTGTACAAAAATTTGTTAATCTTATTTTCCTTCCAGGTTGATTCCGTTGGATAAGGAAAAAAGCAACGGGTGTTCATATTTATACAGAGAAACCAGACGTTACCGTCCACACACTTCATTGGTTGTTGTATGACTGTGTATCAGTGCTTCTCAGCCTTATAATATCTGCAATCGAATTTTCAGTCATAATATTCATCACGTCCTACCCCTTCTCCATACGATAGCAATGTATGAATAATATACTTTGGGGAAAGGCAGCAATATATCTATATCTATATAAATAAATAAAATTGAAGTGTCTGTTTGTAATTTCAAATTAGCAGCTTTTTACTAAATGCATTTAAAGGTATATACGGTACTTATATCAAAAAATCAATTTTTAAAATTTTTGTCTGTCTGTCTGTCTGTCTGTTCCGGCTAATCTCGGAAACGGCTGGTGCGATTTTAAAAATTCTTTCACTAATTGAAAGCTACATTATCAGCGAGTAACATAAGGTACATTTTATCTTCATATTCCTATGGGAACGGAAAATATGCGGGTAAAACCGTGGGACTTTGCTTACTCTCCACCAAGTTGGCGCAAAATTATGCATTTGGTCAATAATGGAAATTTTTCACATTTATAACACAGTGAATTGAAACACAGTGTAATTTAGCATTTTTACAAAAAGCAATTTTTTAAATGGTTTTTATTAAACGTATAACGTTTATTACGTTACGTTTGTTAAATGTCAAACTCAAACTTTGAAAAATATCGCCAAGTTGGCTAAGAAGTTCTTTATTCCGACAATCCCAGATATTTTAATGCATATTTTCTACCACATTTTAAAGAGGCAAACGAAATAAAGTTTTAACGAATTGCGCGCGTGATATTGAAAATTTTATGTTAATATTAATTGACAGTTTCATAAAAAGTTTTGATTTTTCGAATGTTTATCACTTTGAATTTTTTTTAAAATCTAATTATACAATATTCATATTTTGCATAAAGTTTTTCACTTATACTGAACATAGATATTTTAGGTGGAAGAATTACTTTGAAGATATACTAGATAATACTATGGAGGAAGCCATACAATGTCACTCGCCGAATAAAATTAGGGAGCTTTACGCAATACTTATTTCATCTTCGGTCTTTCTAATCCTCAAACCTTTTGGAAAAAGTACAAAGACTACATGGCGGAAGATATTTTGCAGCAAATACAAGCAAATATGCCTTTCAATCAGCACATCTACAACGAAACGTAATAAAGGTTTTCAAAATGGTTGGGAAGAAGCTACATGATTTTGGAATGATTATTCCTAGATGTGTCGACGGAAATGGCTTCGATAATGAAATTGCTTGAGAATTAAACTACGATTTTATAGCATTGCAACATCAAGTAACAGAATTTATCCCTCAATTAACTCCAGAACAAAGTCACGTTTTCCAACAAGTGTTAAGCAAAATAGAATCCGGCAGTGGTGCACTCTTTTTTTTCTCGACGCCCGTAGATGAACCGGAAAAACGTTTTTGCTTAACTTATTATTAATGACCATCAGAAAAACCCAGAAGATAGCAGCTGCTATGGCTTCTTCGGGTATATCCACGACTTTACTGACCAACGGTCGTACTGCACATTCCGTTTTAAAATTATCGCTTAATTTTGCATTTGAAGATTCACTCATCTGAAATTTCAGAAAAAATAGCTCTCTAGCAGGATGCTTCCATAATGCAAGCTTTTAGTGTGGGATGAAAGTACAATATCTCACAAGAAAGCTATAGAAGCGTTAAATCGGACTCTTCAGGATTTACGAGATAGTACAGATATTATAGGAGGAATGGTACTTTATTATATATTGGCTGGTGAATTTTCAAAAACTCCCCCTGTAATCCTGTCGCAGATGAAATCAGTCTCTATTAAATCATCAAGCTTATGGGCAAAATTGGAAAAACTAAGTCTGAAAACGAATATGAGAGAGCATCTTTATAATGACGTAGATTTGGAACATTATGCAGAGACGCAATTGAAAATCGGTTATGGATGTTTGGACGCAAATGCTGGAGGTTATATTTTACTTCCAAAGAATTTTGTAATGTAGAAGAGAAAATCATGTATATCTTATTGCTCAAATTTACCCTGGCTTGCAACAAAATTTAAATTGGGGTCAGTGGTTGCGCGCAAGATCAATATTGGCGCCTAACAATGACATTGTTCATAAAATCAACATTGAAAATTTAAACAACGTATGGGGGAGGGGGGAAATGAAGAAATATTTATCAATGAATACAATCATGGATAAAGAACAAAGTACTTCATATCCCACGGAGTTCTAAAATTCACTTGAACTTTCGGGTGTACCCTCACATAAATTTCAATTAAAACTAAATGTACCAGTTATGCAAAATCTCGATGCTCCTCGACTATGTAAAGGAACGAGGCTTTGGATCACAAAACTGATGCAGAATATACTTGATGCCAATATTTTAACATGTCATGAAAAGGGATAGTGTTATCATACCTCGAATTCCAAGTATCTCCACTGACCTACCGTTTCAACTCAAACGATTTCAATATCCCCAGTTTTGATGTTGCTATTAACAAAGCTAACATTTCAGGTAGCAGGGGTGCATTTGGAAAAGCAATGTTTTTACCATGGCCAACTATATGTAGCCTGATCAGTGTGTCCAATGCCCAAATCTT